GACACTTGCTACTCGTTTCTTTTTGACCCGCGAAAGACCGTTCAGCAAAAGAAAACCTCGCCGGGAGTTGAAACTAGGGTGCAGAACACGGGAAGACACGTACTGATTGAAGTGACGGTGGAGAAATGGGCGATCAAAACATCATTGTGGGGTTGGTCTCATTTACCAGCTGTCTCTCTAAGTGCGTGATTTGACAAGGCAAAGAGTAACAACTTGCGGGGCTATCAGCACGATCCCGCCCTAAGTTCCGCTCTCTTCGACTAACAGCTTCCACTTAGACAGGGAAGCACGACACTCCGATCCGGTGCCTCATACTATGAGCACCCGAACCCGTTTCCGAAACGGGAAGTGGGTCCGGTTTGGATGGACAAGATCCTATCCTTAGCTTATCCCAAAATAGCTGATCGGAGCTACCTCTAGTCTTCAGTCCAATCAACGGAGTTGTCCAGCCATTCCAACTTGACCCATTTTTCGCCCTTCTCACCACTTTTTCATTATCCCCCCCTTCTGAAACAATGTTTTGAATAGGAGCTAACCTTAATCGAACCCTAACCTAACGGTTTAATCTGCTAGGAACTCGCCCGTGCTCTTGCCTCCAACTGCTCGGGTGGCGCGCCTAAGATCCTCTTAGTGGACGAGCCGTTTGCGGGGGTGAGTTACCAAACAGTCATTTTAAAGTGAACCCAGAGCGAAAATCGTTTGACTTGCCGAACGCCTAATGTTACCAGCCGGACAGCGCTTTCCTTGTTTCGAACCAAGTCTTAATCTAGTTCCCTGAAGGCATTGCCATGTTGTTTAGATCCTTTTCAGCGGACATTGAATGTCCGACTGCGGACATTGTGACGTTACAGCTGTCGAGCATTGTAACCTTTCAGCTCTAGGCTCGTAAGAAAGAAAGTTTGGACCATTGGGCCATCCTGAAGAATCTGTGCCGCCCCTTTCGTGGCTTCGATATCCCGTCATCGCGCCATGAGCGGCTCTGCGGAATTCGAAGACGTAGAGAAGCCCTTCGAACGGACAAACACGCTGAATTCTCCCAATGCGAGGTCTTCTCACGCAAGTGGCTGGCCAGTGTAAGAATTTGAGATTTTCAGAAACGTGGATGCCTTTTTTATGCTTCACGAGCAGGATAAAGACACTTGTATAACAAAAAGCAAAACATCGACGTTCTTCGCCCCCAAATCCCACCCTGTCGTAGTCTTTACCCCCCAGAGAAGCGCCAGACAGTCTGGTAACAATCGTTTTTACTAAGCACCATTTGCACTAACATCCGGGTTCGGGGGACGGGTTGTGGTTAGCCTGGGGGTGAAGGTGGGTACGTATGCGGAGCGCGGCACTTTTGGGCTTAGGGTTCTAGTTAAGGTCCCCCGTTTGTGTGTTTAGTGAGAGCAATCGTTACCAGTATCCCCCAGACCTTCTCAATCGCACTCAGTATTGCTCATGCCTGCTGCCTCGTCGCCGGGTGATGACGGGGCGCAATGCTTGCAACAGGATTTAGAGCACGACGCAATTTTTGAGCCCCACAGCTTTCAAATTCCCTTGATGCTATTCCTGACTATTTCTGTAGGTGGACCCGATCGGTGTGGCAGAAATCCAGGGCCTCTTGCGGAAACTCTGCGACGAGCTCCACATGGGCATTCTTATCACCGACCACAATGTAAGCACTCCTTGTGATCCCGTCCTCTCACTCACTCTCTGGTCTGGGCTTGGCTTCATCCCTTATGTTTTGCTGTACCTTTCGCTTTTTTGTTCCGTATCTCTCTTTGAGTTTGAGAAGGTTGGGGCTGGGGGAGGGGGTGGACTTTTTAACATAAGGTTCGTAACTGCATAGCCCTCGTTTCTACGTTATGATCACTTCTTTCTTCGTCGTGGTGCCCCTTGAGTGTGTTCGCACTGTTCGGAAACTGAGCTGACCAATGAAAACGCTCTTTTTTGAGGGCACTGCCCAAAGCATTTTAGTGAAGGTTCTCCGCTTTTGGAATGCTGTTGCCGTTCATAGAATGACAACCATGATCCACTTAGGCAGCAAACAGTGTCAATTGACCTTGATCACTACTTTGGCGAGCTTTTGGGGCCGTTCTGGGCACCTGACAAGTGCAACTTGTCACCTGATCCAACAAGGGGGGAGCTTTATTGTCTCCATGCCCTCCCCTTCCGTGTCCCGACCTTACTCGCTGTCTCTTCCTGTTTGACGTCCAATCACGTCCACTTTCTTGCCTAAGAACAGGAAAGTGGGGAGGAGCGTCGCTTCTATGTTGGCTGCATAGCGCTTCCGCTCACATACAGAAGTTTGGCTATCGGAGTGACTCGACCGAGTCAGCAATAGGTGCTTTCTTTCTTCTTGATCCTTTCTCGTTGCAAACAGCTCCCCCTATCGACGGACATCCGTCTCCCTTTGGAAATTCCTGAACTACTACCGCGAGTGTTTTCTTATCCGGGCAGCTTCAGGAAACGGCTCAATTCTTTCCGCTTTCAGGTGACTGAGACGCTCAAGATCTGCGACCGGGCGTACATGGTCTTCCAGGGACAGGTTATGGCGCAAGGGGCGCCGCAAGAGCTGGTGCGGAATCCTTTTGTTCGGCAGTACTACCTAGGGGAGGGGTACAGGCATCCAGACTTATCAACGAACGGCGATCGGGGCTTCTCTGACTTGGAGAAGACAGTACCCTTGCCCGATGATGGGAACGTCTTACGGCTTTGAATATCGAGGTGACGTTTTTGAGTGCAGTGCTAAAGCATCATGCAAGGAACGGAGCTAAAGGGCGGGGGCCAGAGAAACCTTAAACTATGATCAATTTGGAAGTGCTCCGGGGGCAGTGCAGATTGAAAGTCGCTTGGATATAGCTAGACTCTGCCAAGATTAGATCGCAAGGATTGGCCGTTTTCAGTAAAAACGGCAGGCACTTTTTGGTGGTGCCAAAAGTGATCACCACCTGTTGTGAAGAAGCGAATTTAATAGAAGCTCACGTATGGCAAACACCGGAAAAAATGCTGTTGTTCATGTTTTAGCTATAAGGGAAAGTCATTGCATGTTTCCGCCAAGGTTGATATTATACTCGTATATTTTGCCTCCGTCGTTTTCCTTGAGTGTTCTATGGTGCTTGGCGCGTGCTTGAGGAGTGACGGCGGTTCACATACAGCGGTATGATACTTGCCGCCTGTGCAGGCTATAGTTCTTGTTTGCAAGCGGCTGTTTGTATATCTGCTGTCCATATTGATTGCAAGGAGTGCATGAAACATGATCCTAGTGTTAGATATCGACATAATCTCAAAGGTTAAAAGACGAAGCATCCTTGGAATGGGAAAACAAGATATGCTTCGCCCTGATCCATTGCACATGCAGAGACCTTTGCAGAATGCAATGCGTCACTTACACATTCTCGCAGTCCTTGTGTTGCAGCCTTGTACATAACGGCATGCGTAGATATGTATGTATATTGCACCTATTGATTGAGCACTTAGGCGCAGTCTTGATGTGGGGCAGAGTACAAGTAGCCTTGCATTAGAAACGTGTTCCAACCACTAGTCAACCCTACTTGGTTGTGTCAAAAGCATCAAGGTGACCAACACAGTGTAGCAGCTCAAACCTTGAAGTTGCCTCAACAACAATGATCCGTTTCTGGAACTACGTGTAAGAAGATTGACAGTACGTCATACATAAGAAACCCGGAAAATCGGCATCCCAAATCGTAGAGGATGTGTCCTTGGCGTTTGACAACCCTCCCTGCCCCTAGCTTGGGCAACTAGGATCGGCATATATTACTCAGGGGCTTTGGGGGCCCCGCCGCATGTGACCAACCCCTCCAGTCTCAAGCTCTCAACAGCAATCTCCAGTGGAGCGACCGTGTTTCTCAGGCTTGAGGGGACACCTTCCGCCAAACGTCCGAACTGTCCGGGCCGTTCCAGATTTCCCCTGGACTCAAGCTCTTGGCTAGTCCCTCCCAGAAACGAGTCTATTCTGAAACCTCCGCCCCTTTCGTTTTCCCGTCGTCCCTCTCCTTAGTTGTCCCCAGACAAAACCGTATTATGCTGGTCTGCTGCTAGTAGCGCCTGCCCGGTCTGCTTTCATCGGCCAAGAAGATGGGATTACGCCCATTGTTAGGCTGCCTGCACGCAAATGGACGTCACTAAAGTTAGGGTGGAGTTAGGGTGGCAGATCAAGAGCGTTGGGATACGAAGATTGCAAACTCGCTGACTTGATGTCCCCAGCTTGCCCATATCCGGCGCGCAGTGAGCCTAATGACGTGGCATGAGCTGTCTACCAGGTAAAAGATAGATGGGGCATGCAGTGTCGAGACACTTGGCCGGACTCTGGTCGCCAAACATCAGTCATGGTCGAACGGAAGCAACAGACTTTCCATACAGACCAAGAACTTAATCTGAGCCCCTCAGACTTAGATGCCTCCATACAACCAAAGAGGGGAGGAACCTGACAGTTACAACTTTTTGGAAAATGAAATTCAGGTCCACATTTTTTTCAGGTCCAAAATGTAGAGCATCCCTACCTGCTTTTCCGTGGGAAGCCTCCCCTATTACGATGTCCACTGCAAGGCCCTCCTTCTCAATGAGGAATGATCAAACTTCAGGCATCGGAGCGCAACTCTAGTTTGGCATCAGCCGGAAGATTGGCCACCATGCAATCGAGCTCAATGAGGGTGGGCATCTGTTGTGGGTCAGCTTGGTACAGGAGGATAAACTGCAGAAAAGAGCCGAAAATTGGGGTCAAATGGCAGTGACTGATCAGGAGAACATTCTGTAGTCAAGCAAGCAGAAAGGGACCAACCTTGGTGCAAAACGCTCTTACGCCCTCACCCTCCCCATTCACGTTTTGTGGCAACGTTCTGGGTAAGTGTGGTGATGCCTTCGACGCTTCCCAAGCTGTCAGGCGTCCCACTTTAAGCAGTGACTGCACACGTAAACTGTACCTTACAGCAACATTCCTTTGCCAAGCAACTGGGCTTAGGGCCTTGATAGATAAGCCCATGCCTACCGAGTGACCCTCCAGCTCGAACGCCTCAGCGCACCGCTTGTAAAGGCTTGAGAAGCTTCCGCAGTCAAAGCTGACCGGAACGTGAAGGCCGTGTTGCCTGTGGGATCCAAACCCCGGATCGATATGCACAATCACGCGTTGTTGACCCATGTTTGCTGCATAACAGAAGGAGGAGGGTTTCACTTCGAGCTGCGGTATTTGTTCAGATTGACACTTGAATGTTGCACACCGAGAGAGAGTGCCCAGAGACTCAAGCTTTGCTGCAACTGGCAGTGTCAAAAAACCGACTGCTGTGAACAACCCCTTCCGCAAGTCTGCGTCATTAGCACCCGATTGTTCGATGCTCGTTCGAATCGGGGTTACTCACGACTCCCTTGAGTTTTGATCAACCAAGCCATGGTCTGTTCGGGATTACAAGCATTCAGGACATGATCAATTGTTGCGTCCAATTTGGAGGGCCACGTTGTGCAATACTGGCGGGCCAATTAAAGGAGAACCAATGTGCAGTATGTTACCTGCTTTGTTGCTGGCAGGCAAGCCCAGGTACTTGTCAAAGGCTGCACCCATGTCCTCCGCCGCAGTGTCGAGAAGCGCCTCAGCCTTCCGGAAGGCCTCCCGGATCTCGGCGACCGTCTTCTTTGCAACGGCAGGCACAATGCACGTGCAAAGCCGGTCCAAGCAGGCGCTGGTGAACTCTGTGGGCCTTCCCATGCACAGAAGGGAAAGCGGCCAGCTCCGCACAAACTCTCCCCCCTTCAGAACGCAGGGATCCCCCAAGCCCCCTCCCTCCATTGGCCCTTCGCTTTCACCACCTCCGCTGTAAGGCTTACAAACACCCACACCTCCCCATCAGTGAGGGCCCCCCCATATGGTGCGCTTCCCGAGATCCCCGAGCTTCCCATTGGCCTCTAGTGCAGCCGCCATCCGACTGTAGAGGTGGAACAAAGCCTGGGGGCCAGCAATTGTAAGGCTGCGCTTCACGGCAATGATGCCCAAAAGTTCGTGTGTTTCCTCGTCGATCATGATGAACTCAACCGGACCCCCACAGTGGTTGCCGGCGAGCCACTTCTCAAAGCAGAGTAGGAACTTGTCGAGAGTGCACACAATTGGTGCATTGACTCCTCTGCTGTCCGCCGACCCTGAGCTAGATGCCCTCTCCCCAGACTCAGCTCTTTCAGCCTCCGCCTCTGACCCTGACTGGGGCGCCCCCTCCTCACCTTCCCCGGCCTGCTCCACCTGCTGGCGTCCCTCTGGCGTCAGCTGATTGAAGTGACCTTCCGGACTGAAGTCTTCCTCCTCACCCTCATTCTCCTCCCCTCCTCCCAGCAGTGGTGCCTCAGTGGCTACCAGAATGCCACGCTGCTCAAAGCTGTCAGCAAGAAGAGCCAGCGGCGCTAGAACACCCATGAAGATATGAAGGTGTTGAGACTTCTCGTGGTTTTGAGGGACAATCTGGCGAACGAGAGCCACTCCCCTTGCTCATCTTGCGAAAGATGTGGCTTTTCACCGGGTCAGAGACTTTCAGGGCTTCAAAACCATCGGGGATCCGCTTGGCATCCTCCCCGAAATCTGCTGGGGTTCGTGGATATTTCAGAGTGGGATAATGAAGTTTAAACTTGGACTGGTCAACCTTACAGAACCCGCTCCGCTTTTCGAGCTGAGACAGTATTCCCTCTAAACTGGCCAAGCCTGCCTTGTCCTTCGCTGTGATTGGCATACTTGCCCGCTTGTTCCCTATTGTTTTTCTGAGGACTCCTTGTCATTCCTGCCTTTCCTGGGGCTCAAGGTTGAGGCCCCTTTCGAGTGAAGGGCGGTGGGAGAGGAGGCAACTGCGTCCTGGGGGCAAGTGAACCCACATGGAAGGGAGGCATGCTTGCTCTGCTTCCGAGTCCTTGAACTTTCCAAGATTGGTCCAAGATACAGCCTCTCTAGCTTTGCGCCTTTCCGGGTTCCCCACCCCTGTTGGCCATCAACAATCACTTCTGAAGCACACGAAAGACCTTCCTCAGGAGATTCTGTGAACAACCCAGCATTTTGTTACCTTGACTTGTAGGAATGCCGATTCCTGCGCTTAGATTTACGTGTCAAATTCCGCTTCGACACTGCTTGCTCCAAGCTTGGACTCTCCTTCCTTGCTTGTGTGATGTCCAGTGTCCTCCGTTGCGCGAGGCTGAGGCAACCTTTTACCGTACCTATACGGTATTTTCCGGATACCGTACCGTATCTATCGTTTGAAACGTACGGAGGATTCCGGTCTCTGTTTCGTGCCGGCCGTAGAACTTTGCTTAATAGTAGATATATATATCAAAGAAACGGAGTGTACATCAGGCGGAAAACCACCAGAAACGGAATGTCAGACTAAGAAACGGACTCTAACAACGTTGGAAACTGGACTACGGTATGATATCATTTACAAGACCCGACCGTTTGACCGGTACGGGGATACAGAGCCAGTGTTAGTACGTCCCAAGCCATAGACTGGCTCCAAGTAACTCGGGACGGGCAAGCAAGCAAAGCAAATCTAGTCCCTAACTAGTCTAAAGCAGTCTAACAAAGTTAGCTATAACTTGAAGGTCACATAAGATTTTAAACTGTTCTGGATTGGCCCACGAAATCTGAGTCGAGAAATTTAATGGGGCTCCCTTTTTATGGTATCCTATCTCAAAGCCACTGTTTAGTATCTTAAACCTATTGCGATCACACTGATGTTC